CCAGTCCCCTGGCCACCTTCAGCACTCTCTCCCAGCCTCTGCCTCTGCTGCTCCACTGCTCTGCCAAGAGGCAAGAGCCAAATGGTGGTTGTCTTTGCCTTGGGCAAAACACAGGCTCCTGGGTAAGAAGAAAACAGAAGGAAAAAGAAAATTGAGAGTGTAATAGTAGTACAGTTGATATTCTAAGCATTACCTGCTTTAACCACATTGATTAAACTTTGTTTTTAAACTGTGTAAGGATCAATAGTATCCTATATAGCGTAGTATATATAGTATAGTGTCCAAATAGTACACTACTTTCCCGGAAACAAGACCTAACTGGAAAATAAGCCCTAGCATGATTTTTCAGGATGCTCATAATATAAGTCCTACCCCCAAAATAAGCCCCAGTTAGCAGGAATCATCAGCCACGACAGACATATTGAATTATAAAATAATAAAAATATATATAATTCAATATGAATACATAATATTTTTACATTAATACTTAAATAATATACATTATAATTGTTGTTTGTCGCGAAGTCTTGTCCAACTCATCGCGACCCCTTGGACTACACTCCTCCAGGCCCTCCTGTCCTCCACCATCTCCCGGAGTCCACCCAAGCTCACACCAACCGCCTCAGTGACTCAGCCTAGCCACCTCATCCTCTGCTGTCCCCTTCTTCTTTTTCCATCTATTATTCCCAGCATTAGACTCTTCTCCAGGGAGTCCTTCCTTCTCATTAGGTGGCCAAAGTATTTGAATTTTATCTTCAGTATCTGGCCTTCTAAAGAGCAGTCAGGGTTGATCTCCTCTAGGACTGACCGGTTTGATTGCCTTGCTGTCCAAGGGACTCGCAGGAGTCTCCTCCAGCACCACAATTGAAAGGCCTCAATCTTTTTGCGCTCAGCCTTCCTTATGATCCAACTTTCACAGCCATACATTACAACTGGGAAAACCATAGCCTTGACTATATGCACTTTTGTTGGCAGCGTGATGTCTCTGCTTTTTAGTATGCTATCTAGATTTGCTATAGCTTTCCTCCCTAGGAGCAAGCGTCTTTTAATATCTTGGCTGCAGTCCCTGTCTGTGGTGATCTTGGAGCCCAGAAAAATAAAATCTGTCACTACCTCCATTTCCTCCCCATCTATTTGCCAGGAAGTGAGAGGACCAGATGCCATGATCTTAGTTTTCTTAATGTTGAGTTTCAAGCCAACTTTTACGCTTTCCTCCTTCACCTTCATCAAGAGGCTCTTTAGTTCCTCTTCACTTTGGTATTTGTAAATATCCAAGTGGGTGCCTTTGGACGAGAGGTAAACGCCTATGTAAACAGATGAACATGAGACTTATTGACAAATGACCAATCGGAATACAGACACTGCACGAATAATGTGTGCGCTTGATCTTATTTTTGGGGAAACACAGTATAAATCAATCAATCAGTTGAAGCCACATTGTACGGTATTACATAGTGGCTAGAGGGCATTTTTTATTAGTTCTTAGACTGTTTTCTTCAGACTGATACCTGAAAACATATGTATAGAAAAGAAATCATGTAAGAAAGAGCTGGTCTTACAGCAATCCTCCCATCAGCCAGAAATTTGAGAGGCTGGTTAAAATTGCTACTGCACAACATTTCCTGCTAATTATATTGCTGCTAACCTCTCTTGGAAGAGAGATGAGGGAGCCATCTGTAAACCATCCAAGAGGAATCTAATTCCTCTGAACCATGCTCTTGTGGCTAAGTTGCCAAGAGAGAACTGTTTTTAGGATCCAGAATACAATGAACATACTAATGGATGAAGGCTAACAATGTACAGTGGTGCCTCAGCTTACTAACGCCTTGGTTCACAACCAAATTGGGTCACAAACAAAAATTTCATGAAAATTTTGACTTGGGTTGCGGACTCCGCATTGGGTGGCAACCAAGATTGTGGCCATCTCTCCACCCCCCCCCCCACCCCAAGTGGGGAGATGGCCACAATCGCAGTTGCGTTCATGCAGGGAAGACATAGAGGTTCTGACGACAGAAGAACTTGCTGAACTCCAGATTTAGCAGCAGAAGGCAGTTGCTGAGGTGGATTCCATTGAGGAAGAGGAAGACAGGGAGGAGGTCAGCAGTTATGTGATACAATCCATTATGAAAAAATGGAATGAGTGCCAGGATTTCTTTGAGAAGCACCACCCCAACATAAGTGTAATGAACAGATTGTTGAATCTGATGAACGATAACGTGGTCTCTCATTTCTGGAGGGTTATGCAGCACAGGAAAAAACAAGTGACTACGCGTATAGACATATTTTTCACTAAAATTGACCCTGCAGCTAAGAAACAAAGAAGAGAGGAAACCCCTGAAAGAGATCTCCCCAATGTCTTTATGCAGGGGGACTCTCCCTCAAAACAATACCCTCCCCCCACCACTTAGGTTAGTGTTCTCCACTGTACTGTACTGTACAGTACTTTGTTACTTTGTTGTTCTTTGTCCCTTTGTTGTTCTTTGTCATTTTGTTTCAATTTTTTCTGATTAAAAAAAGTAGTTACAGAACGGATTAACCTTTTTTACATTGAACCTTATAGGGAAATTTGACTTGGGTCACAACCAGAGTCGTGGAACGGATTAAGTTCGTGAGCCAAGACCACTGTATTAGGAACAAATTAACAGAATGATTAAAACAAAAGAAAGCAAAACCCAATAGTTACAATGGTATTATCTTGCTTTGAAGCAGACTGCTGTGTCTCTACAGTTGTTAAGGAAACACAGAATCAAAATATAACAGGCATGACTCTGACAGAGCACCTCTCTAGCTCAGCCAGGTTTTTTGTACAAAAAGTTTTTAATAAGTGCACTTTGAAGTTAAACTTATTTGGCATGGTTCACTGTGGAGAAGAAGCATATAAAGAAACTAAAGAATCTGCTGTGTTTACTCCTATGTTTAAGTTTGTTCTCTTAATCTTATAATAGAAACACAATACTACAATCGTATGCACACTTATTTGACAGTAAACCAAATGAACTTGAACATAAAGGAACTTACTTTTGCGTAGACATGCATGAGATTAAGTTGATGATGAGTTACTTTCTCAGCAAGAGAATGGAGTATGGCAGAAAAGGGCTATTCACAAAGTTGTGTCCTACAGAAAAAGGAGGAACTCCTCTGTTTTGGCTTTGCCTGCTCCAGAAGAGCAAAGTTCATTGTTTGTTCCCAGCTTTCTGTGAGAAAATAGGCTTTTTTCTCTTTATCACCTTTCTGTAAGTTCTTAACCAGGTTTTTATTTTCTGGGTTGTTACAGAGGAGCTGCAGGTACTGAAGCAGCTCCATGTCTATTCCCAATTCCCTTAGTAAATTCTGCTGGGGAGTCAATACTCCTCCTTGCTTGGACATTTAGTCCTGTGTAGGTTGCTTCTGTGAACTTCCCTTGTGTCATAGTCTTATGTCCTGGAACATATAAAATAGAACAAATCTGCTCATTTGGCCAGCATTTCTAAAAGACCTTGGGGCACCCACGTGGAACCTGGTAATCTATCTTATACAGCTGGGAAAGTGGGCTCCCTGAGAAGAATGCCTTGATTGCCACCTTCATCCTGACGACTGGAACTGACTGCAAGGGCTACTCATGCCTCAACACCAGTAATGCTTTCAGATGTACTATAGTATGCCACTTGCCCTATGTCAAAGGCATTGGCAGTATGGTACACAGTGCTAATTCACAAAAGCCAGACAATTACTGTCTCTTTGGAAAGGAACCTAGAAATTTCCATTAATGCTTTCACTTGGGAAGAGGACCACTGCACTATGTCCTGGACATCCTCTACCTTTGCCCTGCCTCTGGTGCTGTAGTTGTCATGAATTTCATCACAATTGAACCTAGGGCCTTTTCTTGTTAATGCTGATATTCCTTCTTCTAATCCCTGCTTTTTGTTAATGCTGGTATGCCAGTTTTTTAAGGAAGAAGATAATTCCTTCTTGGAGTTAATTCCTTTTTCTTTAGGAAAAAGCTCCACCAAGAAATAATAAAAGTAACATCTCCATCTCAACTCACTCCCTTGCTGGACTTTGGAAGTAGCAAATCAGGATTTCTTTGTTAATCTGAATCTTATGCTTCCTTATGCACCTCCCACCTCCCTTATTAGTGTAAAGTCAGCAGCTTTGCCATAGCAGTCTGTTAGCATTGCTATATTATCGCTTCTTTCTACTAGTACCATTTTGCTTTCTACTGGCTACTGGGAGTGGCTGCATTGCACAGAATTTATATTTTTTGCTATTGGCATTGTAGGATTATGGGACTGGACTGCCTATATGTTTGTCACTTAGGGACAATCCTATGGCTACTAGATGCTGTATAGGGGACAACAGGATAATTCAGAGTCACAGCTCTGATCTCAGAGAAGCACTTCAAGGACATTGCTGGGATTCTGAATTCAAAGTGTCTTCCCTCCCCCTCACAGCCAGCACAGTTCTTTCTGCATTAGCTGCAGCTCCAAAGTTACAAGGCTGGCTGTAGAACCAGTGTTGACAGGTTATGGGGCATTCCAGGGGCAGGAAGAGGAATGAGGCCTTACTGTCCTATGAAGAATCCTGGTGATGCCTCTAGTTTGTCTCTCTGTGTTATAAAACACTTGGCCAAATCAGCTTTGTAAACATGTTGGAGGGCAGAAGGAATGCTGAAGTAATCTGCACTTCTATGCTTCTTCTGTCCTCCATTGGTTCTTTGCAATGCTCTGAGTTCTGAGAGTTTTAGGCAACCACTTTGATGGCACTCTTTACTACTTTAGCTATATTTTGGTCTCCCTTTTTTCTCTTGTGAAACACTGTTGTATGTTTAATCAAAGGCTGTATGAACAGCATGCTAGGAGTACTTTACTGTAGAAAATCATGCTGTACTGCTGAATATCAGACTAGAGATCCTTTGTAACCCTTAGAAACTAGAACCTCACATATTTTTCATTGTTTTTTATGTTGTTGTTATACAGCAATGTCACAACATTCATATTTTCATTATATATGTTTATTTGTAGAATCACAAAGATTTGTTTTATCTGATTATGGTAGCTTGGAAATTTATAATATTATAGGCAGTGATGCTGGCAGTTATACTTGCAAAGTGAGCTATATATATAATGGCGATCAACTGACCACAGAAATCCATTTTATGATCTATGGTAAGTAAGGTTTTGATTTCTAAACATATACTGTTTTGTAGCTATGACATCATGAAAAATTCAGATACTCTTTTGCATGATAAACAAAACCAAAAGGGGGGATTGGGGATTTCACTTGTACAAAATTATCCATAAATATAAGGTCTTGAATGATTGTTAAGCTAATATGCATTGAGTGGTGTATGTATCATACACTGTAGTATATACCTTTGATTATATCAATTATTTGTTGTTCAGTCGCACATTCGTGCCTGACTCTTCACAACGCCATGGACTACAGCAAGCCAGGTCCTCCTGTTTTCCACTGCCTCCGAGAGTTCATCCAAATTCATGTTCATTGCATCAGTGACACTATCATATCAATTATTAAGTAATACTATTGCATCTCAAAACTTCACTTATAAGTTGACAGCCTATAAGGGATAGTTGGGCTAGGTGAGCAGTATAATATTCAATTACCTCTGAATCTGAACAGTATATTGTGAATGGAGAGGTTTCTATCCCAACTACACATGAAAGAGTTTTGGGGTAAATTCAGGTGAGAAGATACTCAACAGCATGTCCAACCCTTATTTCACTTTTTCTTCCATGATACTTTAAGCTCGGGGTGGGGTGTAGTTTTTGGATGGATGGAAGTGAGGAATCACTGTACCACTCATTCATACCGCTAGACCCTTAAAAGCTTACTGCATACTGAACTGATGGGAATTAAGTTTCAAGGTTTCATGCCTCCTGGTGCACATCCCTAAAACACCACCCCTTTAAGGTTGCCATAAGCAACTTTCCTTCCTCCAGCTGACAATCCATTCAGCATTCCTTGACTTGAAGAGGGAGACATAACAGAACACCTCCAGGATTTGTTAAACAACAAACTGGTGTATTATATTTAATATATCTATATCCCACCTTTATTTGATTGCAAAAGCAGCATGCCTAGTGGCCTCCTAACAAAGCATTGACCGGACCCAGGCCTAGCTTCTTTTTTACAGCTGTCTGTGTATGAATGTGACATGCTTTTGTTTTACTGCTTTTGAATCTTATTGTTTTCTTATGTTACATACCTCCTTTCAGTGCTACATAGCAGAAAGATAATTTAAATGCTTTAAATGGCTTAGGACCTGGATATTTGAAGGGGCTCTTCCTTCCATATATACCTGCCCAGCCCCTAAGACAGGGGTCCTCAAACTTTTTCTAAAGGGGGGCAGTTGATAGGTGCTAGCAGTGGGTGCAATATATATTTTATTCTGAACTTATTGTGGCTTTTCTTTTACCTTTGTTTTTCTTCTGAGGAAACAAATGACATGTACTGTTTATTTATTGACTTTATGCTATTGTATTTGAAGAATATTCAGTAACTCCAAATTAAAACATAATCATACAATAGTAATAGACTTAGAACAAACTAGAATGTTGCACATTAGATTCTGCATCCCCACTGTTATAGGGAAATCAGAAGCCAGGTGGAACAATGGCCATGACTGGAATACTTACATTGAAGCTTTGAGGCAAGTCTCTCTGGGTAAGGCATTCCAAAGATGGACTGCCACTACTGAAAAGCCCTTTTGCCTTATATCCACTTGCTTCATTAGGAGCAGGCACCTGGAGGATGCTGATCACTTTAGTGTCCAAGTAATAAATCTGGGTGGAGCTGTGCCTTCAGGTAACCTGGCCCCTAATTGCTTAGGGATTTAAAGGATAAAACTGGCACTTGGAAATGGGCAGCCAGTGCAGTTCTCAAAAAACTGGTAAAATATGATCATATCAACCAATCTTGCTGGGTGTCCTTCAGTGTGAGGTTCTCCCTTGTCCACACTCTGCAGAAATTAAAATAAAAAATGTAGAAAAATATTTATTCAGAGAAAAATCCTAAAGAGGGGAAACACCATTCCAGAAACAGCCCAGTAACTGAGCATCAGTAGCCACAGAATGCTACTGATAGGAGCAGGGGGACAAAGCTGTAGTGGATATGCTATCAGCTACCCAATTAAGAGGCTCAGGTGATCTTGATTTGGAAAATCTAATCAGGGAGACTTCCAAAGGAGAAAGGATTGTACTAACATGTGAATTAGGTAACCCTTACTTAGGGTGGGTAAATTCAAGTTCAGCAAAGATAGAATTTCTAGATATCCTAAATGACTGTCCCTTAAAAGGAATAGTTTTATGAAACTGTCCAAAGAGGAAAGGGGCACACAGAATGATCAGGAAGCTCCTTCCTGTGAGGGAAGGTTATAAAGTTTGGGGCTGTTTAATTTAGGAAAAATACCAAGTAAAAAGAGACATAAGAAAGGTGCATAAAATTATGCATGGTGGGTGGGAGACTTCCTTGGCAGCAGACCAAAGGAAACACTTCTACACCTAGTGCATATTAAACACTATAATTTATTCCCACAAGACATGATGGCCTTCAACTTGGGGACTAATCCTGGCAGGTGCTTATAAGCCTACAACCTTGAAGGCTTGCAAGCATCCAATGCAAGAAGTGATGGCAGTCTCTGCTGCACCTCACAACCTGTATTTTATCTAATGGTTGCTTTCTGACATCTGTGTTTAGTTGCTGGGGAAGAGAAGGAAAGGAAGTTGGGACACAAATTGGAATCAGCATAATTCTGCAGCCTCCTCTTCCCTGCCCCTAGCATGCCCTTTTTCTCCCTCTAGTTGTAATTTTGAAGGGAGTGTTTAGCAAAGTTCTTTCCATGCAAGAGAGTGGGGCAAGGACTCACCCTTTAGAGTCACAGCTCCAAAATTACAGGAGATTGGACTCCAAGGAATCATATGGCTTCCAGATTATGTCAGGAGGTCCTAGGATAATATCCTTAGTCATCTTTAAAATGTGATTAAACAAATTCATGGGAATGAGAGCGTCAATGCCCTGGTTTGCATAACATGACAGCCCACTGTGGCTCAATTTATCCAGAGGGGCTGTGTTGGTGGCCCATGAGCATCAAACAAAAATTGGGCTTGCAGGTTCCCAGCACAACACAACCACCCTGTAAATTAAGTAAAGTTGAGCTGTTATGAGAGCCAAGTCATTGGCTACTAAGTCATACTAGCTATGTGTTACATCCAGAGGCAGAGGCAGTATGCCTGTGAATATAAAAGACTGGAGTACAACAGGAAGAGAGGGCTGTTGTCATGTGCTGCTTGTGGGCTTCCCATATATAGAAGGCTAGAAAATAGGATGTTGCACAAGATAGGCTTTCAAACTCATAATAAGAGTTTTCTTAAATGTTTTAATACACCCAGACATTATACCTTACCTTTGCCAAAGTTAATGATTTTACTGGGATTCACATTCTGGTTTGATTCAGGATTATGTTCTGAAACTGAAGGAGGATCGTCCCACTGAAACATGAAATTATTTTCATAGGCTATTTTCATAGCCTTAATGTGTATATGCTAGAAAGAATGAAAATTCTCAGAAAATCCAAATTTCCTATCTTGTGCATGAAAATCAAATAATCTTGTGGCATCATAAAGACTAATATATTGCAACATAAGGTTTTGTGGACTTCAGATGCATGAAATGTTAACATCAATTGACAGCAGATGAGTTACTTTGTATCAGTATATTTGTGTATTAAAAATGTTAATTAACATAACAGAATTCATAGGTAAAGTCTTATAAATACTTCTGAGTTCACATTTTTATGAGGTTAGGTTTCTTCATCTCCCCATAGGAGAATATATTCATAAGCATAACATAATGGGAGAATTTGATTTACCCAAACTGGAAAATAACTTTTTGTAGATAGTGGCAGTGGCTTATATGAATAATGGTGGCTTATATGAATAATAAATACATATTAATGCATTCATTATGCTTAGGAGGAATATATCATTATTTGTCATATACAAGTGATATACAATATTAAGAGACATTTTTCCCTTTAATTTTAAATAGTGTATCATATGCCTGGAAAGAGTATACATCTATCATCTCAATTCACAACTGGAACATGTGAAACCAATGTAGTTGCTTCATTTGAAAAGTATCTGTTAGAGAAGCTGGAGAGCTTAATTCACAACCTGGGTTGTAAAATTAACCAGTGGGGTACCCAATGTCATGCATCTACAGACATGCTGGAAAAGATAAAACACAAGCTTACTTTTCAGTTTGTAGGTAAGATTAAAAGTTTTTTACTACTTCTGTTGTTTTCTCATGTAACAGATTAAAAAAAATGAAAGACTTAAATACATAAAACCCAAGCAAAGGGAAGATGAGATCTGAATAAGGTTAACCTATTTTATGATGTATGTCAGTTAAAACACTGAGGTACAGTAACAATAACATATTCTGTAACCCTATCACAAAATATTCCAGATAAGCCCACCACAAAACCAGGACAATGATTTTTCTGAGAGACAAAAAGAAAAAGAAAAAAAGAAAAGAAAATGGAGTGAATTTCTTGTACGGATTCTGAAGCCACCATCTTTTCATGGTTGATAAATATTCTCCCCTGCAGCTGCACCACCAGCAGTCCATAATAGTCCTTTGCTGGACAAGTTTGAGTGATGTCATTAAATCCCAGGAATCGCACATTCAGTGATGCATGCTCAGATCTCCATGGCTTGTATCACCCATGTTCTACACCAGTAGTCAAATACTTACGATTGTGTATATCTGTATTTATGTCACTGAAGGTTTACAGTGTTAGTCAGGTTTACAGTGTTAAGAGGAAAGACTAACCTGTGACTGTAGTTCTTTGAGTAGACATCCTTGCATTCATACAACCTGTCATCTACACTTTGATGTCAACATGGTGCTAAGTTCTAGCATCACTGAAATGCTTATTACTGAAGCTGTCTTTCCATTGTATAATACAGTGATCTCTCAGTCCCAAGGCTACAATAGGTAATCTCAGTGGAACTGAGGGAAAGTGGAAGGAAGCTACTGAAATTGTGTATAGTAGACATTTGGGGAGGGTTCTCACAAAAAAAAAAAAAAAAAAAAAAAATCCTCAGCTATGGAGGAATGGTTCCAGGCAGGCACAGTGTCAATATTTGTGAATGCATAGGTGACCATTCATAAAACTACAATTACAGCTAAGCAATTTGTCTATATTCAACCAATGTGGGATTGAGCTTCAGTTCTGTCTTGATGTAGGTAAGGTTTAGCTCATTTCTTCACCATTGATTCATTTTTAAACTTCTATAATTGCTTAAATCTATAACCACTAGCATGTATTTTTGTGAGCTCTTCCAGTGTTTCGGGAATCATAATGGAACTGTTCTAACTTGAATTGCTTTGGGAATATCATGGTGTTGCTCAATTATGAGGCAATTGAGTGAGCATAAGTGTTTGACTAAGTCTTTTCTGCTGCTGCCCACTTTTAGTCTTTGCAGTAGCAGATTGATGCCAGCATCATCACTATGACAGCATAATTGTGATGCAATGCTAGTGTAGACCTCTGACACTGATGATCCTCTCTTTAGGGCCCATCAATACAAAAGGACTTGGTATCCCATCCTTGCCAGTCAGAATAAATCAAATCATGGAAAAGAAGCGTTAAAATTCTGCTTTACATGTTATGTTTTTCTAAGCTTTGTGTGTATGTTGTAATTGAGTAGTGATCTAAACTAGGGATGGACAGTAGGCCTCTACTGCCTTCCTGTCTTACTCCTGTTTCTTGTAGTATTTATTTATTTATTTATTTATTTATTAAAACATTTTTATGCCGCCCCATTCACCGAAGCCTTGGGGTGGCTTACAACAATAAATTAAATAACATTTTAAAATATATACATTAAAATACACATATATGATATAAACCATACAATATAAAACAAGCCGCCCTGGCCAGATACAATTCAATAATATTAACATTTAAAATACTGCTTAAATAAAAAGGTCTTCGCCTGGCGCCGAAAAACAAATAATGACGGCGCCAGGCAGACCTCTCTGGGGAGCGCATTCCATAACTTAGGTGCCACCGCTGAGAAAGCCCTCCTCCGAGTAACCACCCTCCTAACTTCTTCCACGGAGGGCTCCCGGAGAAGGGCCTCTCCTGCTGATCTCAGGGGGCGGCTGGGTATATATGGATGTAAGCGCTCCTTCAGGTAACCAGGACCCAAGCCGTTTAGGGCTTTATAGGTCATCACCAACACCTTGAATTGGGCCCGGACTTCAATGGGAAGCCAGTGAAGCTGACGGAGAACTGGAGTCATGTGAACATAACGTCCAGTCCCTGTCAGCAGCCTGGCAGCTCTATTTTTGAACCAATTGAAGTATCCGGACCGTCTTCAAGGGTAGCCCCACATAGAGCGCGTTACAGAAGTCAAGACGGGAAGTCACCAACGCATGTGTCACTGTCGCAAGCCAGTCGTTCTCCAGATAGGGGCGCAGCTGATGAATCAGCCGAAGCTGGAGGAAAGCGTTCCTCGCCACTGCTGTTACCTGAGCTTCCAGTGAAAGCTCCGGGTCGAGGAGCACTCCCAAGCTGCGGACCTTGTCCCTAAGAGGGAGTGCAACCCCGTTCAGGACAAGGTTCAATTCACCCTCTCCGAAGCCCGATCCGCCAACCAACAGGACCGCCGTCTTGTCTGGATTGAGCTTCAGTTTATTGGCCCTCATCCAGCCCATTACCTCAGCCAGGCAGCGGTTCAGCACAGCCACTGCCTCACCTGGATTGGTGGAAAACGAGAGGTAGAGCTGGGTATCATCAGCATACTGATGGTTCTGCAGCCCACACCTCCTGATGACCTCTCCCAGCGGTTTCATGTATATGTTGAACAGCAAAGGGGACAAAATGGACCCCTGTGGTACTCCATGGCATAGCTGCCATGGCGCAGAGCCATAGTCCCCCAGCACCACCTTCTGGAACTGGCCATTGAGATAGGAGCGGAACCACTGCAAAGCAGTGCCTCCAACCCCCAATCCCGCAAGCCTATCCAGAAGGATACCATGGTCGATGGTATCGAAAGCCGCTGAGAGGTCCAGGAGAACCAACAGGGACGCACTCCCCCTGTCCTTCTCCCTGCACAGGTCATCGTACAGGGCGACCAAGGCAGATTCAGTACCGTACCCGGGTCTGAAGCTGGACTGCAATGGGTCCAGATAATCAGTTTCATCCAAGAGTGCTTGGAGTTGTCCTGCCACCACCTGCTCTAACACCTTGCCCAGAAACGGGATGTTGGCCACTGGTCTATAATTAGTGGCCATCTCTGGATCCAGTGACGCCTTCTTCAGGACCGGTCGGACTACCGCCTCCTTTAAAGGGGCAGGCACCCGACCCTCCCTCAGAGAAGCGTTAACCACTTCCAAGATCCAGGTTCCAATCCCGTGCTTGGAATCATTTATTAACCAAGACGGGCAAGGGTCCAAAAGGCAAGTGGTTGGATGTACTCGCCCAAGCACCTTGTCCACGTCATCGGGCCGCAGTAACTGAAATTCATCCAATAAATCTGGACCAGACGGCAGTGTTGGTGTCTCCTTTGAAACCTCTGAATCAATAGTGGTGTCCAGCTCGTGACGAATCTGAGCGATTTTCTCCCTGAAATGCCTGGGAAAGTCGTCACAGTGGGCCTTTGAGGGTGGAATCAGGTCTTCCTTCAGACCTGGACGAACCAGGCCTTGCACCTCTCGAAAGAGCTCCGCCGGACGGCATTGTGAGGAGGCAATGGAAGCGGAAAAGAATCTCTTTTTCACCGCCCTCACTGCCACAGCATAGGCCCGATAGTGGGCTCTTAAGTGTGTTCGGTCAGATTCATCCCGTGATTTCCTCCACCTACGCTCTAGTCGTCTCCCAACCTGCTTCATCGCCCTCAATTCAGGAGTATACCAAGGGGAAGAGCGGACTCTGCCCGGTGGGAGAGGATGCTTAGGAGCGATCGTGTCTACAGCCCTGGTCATCTCCCCATTCCACAGTTTGACCAGAGCCTCGACAGGAGCACCCATCTTGTCAGCTGGAAACTCCCCCAGGGCCTTCAGGAATCCTTCCGGATCCATCCAGCTCCGGGGGCAGACCCACACAATCGGGTCCGCACCCTTAAAGAGGGAGAAGTCACTCTCGAGCACAAACCTCACCAGGAAGTGATCTGACCATGACAGGGGAGTCAAGCATAAGTTACTCACCCTCAGACCACCCTCTTCCTGCCATGTACATGCCCTCATAGCTTTCTCTGATAAAATATTTTTGAAAAAGCTGTTTAAATGGGGAGACCTAGTGAACACCAACATCAGTTTTGAAAGAGTTCTTCCCTTATCTCCCCCTGATGTTCCCATTTATACACAAGCCAAGACACAGTGGATGTGATCCAGACTTTGCTCCCACAGATAGAAGCATCCTATGAATCAAATTCTGCTCAGAATGGCTCTAATGGCAGAATGTGGGAGGCAATTTTCACCTTCCTCCTGTAGCCCTTCTGGCATCTCCTGTGCTGGTCCAGAGGGTTCCCAGGCCTCCAAAGCAGGTTTGGGATGTGTGTGTGGAGCGGGGGGATTAAAAATCACCTTCTCACTTGTTCCATCAGCAGGATTCTTCTGCTGAACCAAAAGCCTTCCAGGGACAGAAGGAAAAGTAACATTCACAGGAGCCAAAGTCTAGATCAAAGCCAGTAAGTGGAAGTGGGAGCTCAGATGCCTAAGGAGAAAACATTGACAAATTTTGCTATTTGTTGGAGTCAGTCATTGGCAGATTCAGAACTATTGGCTGTCCAGTCCTTGCTGTTCAAAATATAGGTTCTATTTAAAAAAAAAAGTTGAAAGAAATGATCTGAGTAAAATAAAGGTGAATAGAAGGCACTCAGCAGTCAATCCAATGTAGCTGTCTCTAATGTTCTGACCCTGGAGTATACAGGCAACCAATGTAAGATAGGGAAGTACAGAAGTGAAGATTGCCTTTGCACTTTCCTCATGCCCAAAAAGACTTAGATGGTTGATTTTATACTGGCTCACAGAAGGTGGAGGCACCATCAAGATCACTTATAAGATGGCAATGCCTCAGTTCTTCCCTCCCAAGTCCCCAGACTGTACCCCTCCATCACCAGCTCCAGAGTTGGTCTTCCAATTTTGGAGCAACAGCTGGCATTGAAAGAATTCCATTGGTTGCAAGGGCAGAGGGTGGGAACTCTGAGATCAGACTTGCAGCACTGATCTTAGAGCTCTCTGCCTGTAGCCATCTAGACAGTATCTAGCAGCCATTCAACTGTGCAAAAAAAGTATCCATACATTGTAAGTTCAATTACCATATAAAATTTTGGCAATAATGGATTGATTTCTTATATCTGGTAAAGTCACCATTTGGGTGAAACATTTTATATCACATGGGCATGCTATCCAAAATAGTACACTTTATCATGAAAAAGTCCAATTAAAGTGTAAATATCTCCATTCACTTTCTTTATTTTCAGTGTTTCCTTTAGTTCTGACTACAGCAGATCTCTGTCGAAGCTCTCAATGTGAAAATTCCACAAGCAATATTAAAAAGGTAAAGTGGAATTATTCAAAAAATTCTGTTGAATAGTGACATGATGTTTGAGAGAACTTTGTATTGTGTTAGCTAGGAATGCTAACAACAGCAAAAAAATAGCTATACTTTTTGCAAAATTGATGAAAATTCAAATTATGATTTTGTTTCTGGGGAATTTTAAATGTTTATATATTAAAAGTGTTTAAAGGATTCTATTTAATGGACCATTTTGAGTGATGTTTGGAAAAATACTCCAGCTCCTCCTAACTTGACAGCTTATGTATTGGTTTTTGGCTAGCTTGAGGGAACTATGGATCAGCCTTCAATGGTACTTTGAACCTATATGCTTCTAAATAGGTAGTGGAGTCCATCCTTCTAGCATTCTGTGGACTTCCACTCATGCTCAGCTCATTCCTTCAAACTGAATCATACTGAGAAGTCTATGAATGCTTACAAAATGAAGGTTGCACAACCAGCAACCTTCTTCCATGTCAGTTGCAGCAGCACCAAGACTGCTGCAGATGGCATGGAGGTGGGATACTGCTTGCTCAGTGGTCATGCAGGGCTTCATTCTTGGCTAGCTCTATGCAACCAACTTCTTTCCACATCAGATAAAGTAGCCCAAATGGCTGCTGCATCTGGTGCAGAAAAGGGATGCTGCTAGAAGGCACATGGGGTTCTGTTCCTAGTGAACCTTGTATGACTGGTGACAGCTTCCCTCTTCTGCCCCACATGTAGCAGCTAGTTTGGGTTGCTGCAGGTAGCACGGAAAAGGGGTGCTGTTTGTACAGTGCATGGGACTCTATTTCTGACAAGCACCTTGTGTATGCTGAGTGCACTCACCAGGAATTCAGAATTGGGACTGCCGGTGTCTAGGGAGCCAAGCCCAAGGAATCCGACTGAATGATTGACTGCTCACACAGCCCTACTTCTGAGCCCATGTCAAGGTGCTGGTTTTAACCTAAAAGTCCTAAACTGAATCAGTTTACTACTAGATTTAAGACCTGCTTAAATAGGCCTTATGATTTAATTTGTATGAGCTAGTATAGCTTTTTACATTTGTTTAAAATTTAGTTTTAAATTTTGTAAATTTTAAATTTTGTTAATTTTTTAAAACTTTTTAGGATGTTTTTTCACTATCTGTATTTTATGTTGTATTGTGTTGTATTTTATGTGGTGTTGTAAACCACCCAGACAGTTTCAGCTATTGGGTGGTATAATAAAGACAATGACGATGACGACGATGTCACACAAGCATAATGGAATACAAGGCCTCAGACTGTATTGATCATCTATTATTCCAGTGAGGTCAGAATTTGATCCATGTTAATGTGCTTATCTTTGTTAATTATTCCATTTCTAGGCATATGACAGGATCAAGCAGTTCTTTGAGGTCCAGAAAACTAATTCCTCTCACAGTGAACTCTTAAATTATATCCCTGGCAGTCTGACTGGAGTTAAAGTCGACCACTGCAAACCAGGTTTTGGGAAAAACATAAATGCCATTAACAATGATACAATATGTCCAGGATGTTGTGGTGAGTTTCCAAAGTTTGCCTATTAGATAAATCCCGAAGAAACTACTTTTATTGAAACGTAGGCTATTGGTGATTTTTATTAATGTTATTAATGTTTTTAATGAAAATAAACCATTTTCTCTGGGTACAGACAGATCATTCCACAAACAACCATAAAAGAATATAATATTATTTTTCTAGTACTGGTAATGATGCCAGGATTCTATATTTGCTGTTCTGCCTTTTCTGTGAGAGAGACAATGGAAGTATAACTTTTGATTTTCTTGGAAGTCTCAGCAACTTTCAATATCATCATCCATTACATTCCTCTCAATAGGGCTATCTGGGGTGGGGATTGGGGGCATTCTTCTGAAAGTGATTCTGCACCGGAATGATTCCAGAAGCTATTGCAGGAGCAAATACTACTTGATTCCTTGGCACCTGAGCTCACAAAATTGTTAACAAGCACTACTTTTTACCTGATAATATAGTTTCATTGCAGATGCCTAAGGTGCACAAGTGGCAACTCTCACTTATGGTTTGTTTGTTTGTTTGTTTGTTTGTTTATTTATTTATTTATAACTTTTATATGCCATTCCTACTGATGGTATCTTTCATATGCAGCAATCATTCCAGCTGACAAAGAGAACAGTGCCAGTTGCAATGTGTCGGTCAAAGTCACTCTCCACAAAAATGTTGAATGTTCTTTTTCTGCCTTCTGTGCCTCCATTAACAGCTTGATGTTTAGTAGTGTGGAAGAGATTGTCATAACCAAACTGCCCCGAAAGCAGCTTAAAGGGCTAAGATCGGCCTTATTGACAGATTTGTCCTTGGATGCCACACAACTTGAGTCCATTTCACCTCTGATGACATGGGTTAACATCTTGGTGAAGCAGGGGGAAGTGAGCTCAGGTTCTTAGGCTCATCTGGGCATGAAATCCCTTTGCAGGAGCTCTTTGGGGAGCTTCTAGAAGCAGTCCTAATAGAAACCAAGGACCAAAACAGGCCTGGTCCTCAGCCAATGAGGAGGAATGCAAAAAAATCAATACAATTATTCAAGCAGCTTAGGCAGTCCTCTTACAGCACTTCCAAATCCAAGTGATTTAGACTGAGAACTTTTGACAGAGTAACACAGCATTCTTCATCCAGCACATTGTCCTTCTCTTCCAAAGACTCAAAGACACCAAGCTGGAACATACACCAGGCCAAATCAGTGGTTGCCTACTTTTCCTCTTTTCCAGGCTCTGAGGAAACATCAGATGCGTGTGTGTGTGTGTGTGTGTGTGTGTGTGTGTGTGTGTGTGTGTTTAGACCTTTGATATCCCACTCTTCACAATGTCTTGGGGCATCACAAGATTATTTACTGGAATTTTCTTGAATGCCCAGGAACAAGTTCATTATCAGCCCGCGATCCAGAGAACCTGCCAAACATTAATTTGGTTGGTACAGTCAGCTGTACCACAGCTCCTGGGTGGTCAAGCTGTAGAATGCATCCTCCACCCTTCTAAAATTGATCAGAGTCTACTCCATGTCTTTCTGGTGAAAAAGAAAAATGGACACCTGTGCCATCTTGGATCTTAAACAACTGAACATATTCCTCTACAAGATTCACTTTTAGATGGTAATTTGGAAGTCATTTATTACAGCCATTTTCCAAAGTTCTATCAGAAGTATGCATTCATATTCAACAAGCTGAGACACAGGAATTACTTAACACTTACAGAGTACTCCCCACTGGCCTCACCTTGGCCCCCAGGGTCTTCACCAAAGTCTTAGCAGTATGCCTCAAGCAAAAGACTAGATAGATCTGTGTGCTTACCTGAACAACTTTGTGATCATTTCCTTGGCCATCAAGTTTTTCAAAAAAACATTGCAGTGTTTCAGAAATCACAGCTTTGTGGTCAATACATAACTGAAGTCCTGGAGCATCTGGGGGTATTTCTAGATATTGTATGATTCAAAGTAAGCCTCTGGCAGGAGACATGGGAAACTATATGAATTGAAGGTTCTACTTGAGACCTTTGCAGCAATTTCTACTTTCATTCCAAGGCCAGATCGTGTATCTTTCCAGATAGAAATTCCATCTATAACACTTCTGCCTAGACCAGTGACTGCCACACCCATCCTCTTTCTTCAGGAATGAGTCTCAGAGTGCCACTTCTCAGCCAAAGTGATGAATGTTCTAGCTGACTGACTCAGCTGGACATCTCTGAAGAAATCAGAATAGATGTCTTCAACAACTGATCAGCCATTTTGGTATGTCAGAAATAGACCTCTTTACAAACAAAAGAAATTTCCAATCCCAAGATTCTTTTTAAGACACAACTCTGCAAAGGCAGAGGGCATACATTTCTTGCAGGCTCCTTGGCCAAAGAGTCTCCTCTGTGCCTTTCTCCCTCTTCCTTTAATTTCAGTGATCCCCAAATGAATCCAGATGCTGGAAGCAGAACTCATTACAATTATCCTACATTGGCCTAGGAGGCTTTGGTGCTCAGAACTGTTGAATCTGTCAGTACAAGCTGTAGAGGCTGCCAGCTGTAAAGATCTCCTCCAGCAGACTTGATCTTCCATTCTCAAGCAGCAGCCTTCCATCTGACAGTGTGGCAACTGAAAAGTCTGGGTTAAAGCATCCTGGTTAATCTAACAACCTCCTATGCATTGCTCTTTTTTTTAAAGAAGGGCCTCCACAAATACATCATAGTGAAATGTCTAGAGAGCTTACCTGCAAGGGAAAGGCTACTTATGAAAGGCGAAAGATACAGACAGAAGATGGGGGCATTTATAATGTCCTGGGTTTTCCTGAACCAGGATGTAAGCATAAGCATGCTTAAGAAATGACTGGTGGTATTTGAAAATGTACCAGCTTCCCAAGGAGATGGATCAATTTCAGTCTATCCTCATGTGCAAATTCCTCTAGAGGGAAGCTCTCTTGAGTTTCTTCCCCCCACTCCCCCCGCAGCGATTTACAGATTCTGCACTTCTAATCTGATCTGGTTTTTCATGGCTGTTATGGAAGGACCTTTTGAGCCCATGCCAGCATATTCTGTTTTTAAAAATGGACTTTTCAAGTATTTTAATAACTTCCTGCTTTAAATTAATTTTATCTGGGTTTTGTTTTTATGCCATTTCTATGTTTTATTGCTTTTTGTATTTCTAAGTAATTTTAGCTTATTTGTAAGATACCCTGAGATCATGGTTATAGTGTGCAAAATAAATACTTTAAATAAATATTTAACAAAAGCTCCTCATTTCCTCAAAATGAAGAATGCTCATTTGAGGGTGCAATACTACATAAATTTATACTAAAAAAAATTCTGCAGCCCCCAGTATTTTACAACCAGCCATGGTATCATGCTGTTTCTGAGATACATTGTAGAAAAGTGTCATATTGAAAAAATTATTGCATTATTTTAGCTTCCCTGTCCTTAATATGACAAGGCTGCATGAGGGCTTCAAAATATCTATAAATTTAGTTAATACTTTAACCCCATTTACTATCTTCATTTGCTTCTTTCACCCCACCTCTGCTGCCCCAAGTTCCATCTTTATGTCAAATCCTTTTAATTTCTGTTTCAGAAAAAGGAATTCCTTCTCTAATGAAATTTCTCAGAACTCAGTTTTGGAGAAAAAAAATAGCTTTTGATTAAGAATTATTACATTATTTTTCAGAGTACAGTCTATGTAAATTGCTTTTCTTGCACACCTACTTGGAAATGCAACACTTTCAGATTTCTTAGTTTATAAAACAAATGCTACATTTATATAATATGAAGCTTTAATAGCTACCTTACAGTACAATCCTAAATTTAATGATGTGGAAAGGAGGAGGAGTTATACTTTTCACATGGTAAATTTAATGTAAATATTGGACAATTTTTAATTACTAGAGGAGTAAAATATTATAGTCTTTCTAGAATAATCAAGAACTAAGATTACAAATTGTTCAAATGACTTGGATTAAAGGAATAAACTTTAATAGCTATAATGGCACTCCATCTAGCATTCAGTTGTCTCATGGTGAACAAAAGTTCTTTCTTCTTTTTTCTGGGCTGATTACATATGCTACCTGGAATCAGTAACTGTTACCCAACTTTCCTTTCCCCTATCAGTTTTCTTATCGTTAAGTTAAAGTTTGCATTAGTCAGTTTACACTCCCTGAGTTATCAGTTACTGCAAATAATTATTGATTATGTACTCTCCTTCTCTGTGTTTATGTAAGCATTTTAGCGGATAAGGCTATTGCTTGACTTTATTCTCTTCTCTTTGAGTGTACATCTCTGTATGTGTGCATAGTTTAGCTGGCCGTACTAAGAAGTATCTGTGTTAGCCGTCAGGCACTTTGCTTTCAGTTGGCCTTTCTCAATAAGTATTATTTATTAAAAGTGTTAATTTTGCATCTCCTATGTGAGTGTCTGTTCATCATATAGTTCAGGAAGTGATACAAAGAGTATATTTCAGAAAGTACAGTGATCATGACTGCTTGTTCTTTTCAACCTGCTGTAACACCTAAAAAGTTTTAACACAAATGGAGAATAAAATCAGGGGTATGTGATTGTGACCCATAGTATATTAACTCTGTTGCCTCCTTCTCTTTTTTGGATAGTAACATGTCCACCAGGTAAATTCAGTGCAAACTATGGTACAATCTGCATTCTCTGTTCTGCTGGTTCCTATAATGGAAAGTATGGTCAAGTTGCATGTGAAAGCTGTCCAAAAGCACAAAGCAGTGATGAAAAGGGTGCAGAGACAAAAAGAAAATGTCACAGTAAGTTTTTGGAATATGTTACCAAATAAATATTCCTTAAGCCAACCTTTCTTCTTTTGAGAAATATGGAAAACCCTAACAATTAAAACATTTTTGGAGAATGGCTGCGATAGAGGCTTGTTTTGCACGGTTTCTTTAGTGATTTTATTGTATGATCTGGTTTCCTCTTTGGAAACTGTAAGTCATCTGCTGTGGTTGTTGACTAAACTTTAAACAAACAAACAAACAATTGGCTCAAATTCTACAATAGGTTAAGTTAGGAAGCAATCCTATGGCCTGCTGACATCATCTGTGCAGCCACAGAATGGGTAGGTCCCAGTGCCAACCCCAGAAAATTACCCTGAAAGATGGCAGTCCTTCTTGAGACTGTCTGTCTAAATATTGGCTGTCTAAATGTTTTGAAGGGCAAGGGGAGCACAGATGCAATCCAGATCTCTGTGCTCCTCCCACCTTCAACTGGATGCCCATAATCCTGTGAGCTTGGAGGATAACAGGCAGTCACACTGGATGGCACCCTTTAGGAAGGTCACTGAAGGAGAATTCCTGTTCAGCCTTCCCTACCTCCCCCAACCTCGGCACAGGAACTGTGGGACTCCTGAACAGTGTGGCAAGAGTTATATAGGCATGCTCAGATAAGAAATACCTTAGAATTCAAACTCAATTTGTGGAAATTTCCCTAAGGTAGCCCCCATGCTCAATATCAGATTGTTCAGGAAAAGCCCCTCTCCCTTCTTCAAAGAGGCATTTTGGTGGGTGCAGATAACTATAGGTGGAGAAAGGTATATGCAACTTTCATTTCATTAATCTCTTTAAGTTTACTTAGGGCACAATGCTATCACCCCTCTGGTAGCAGATGCATGCAGACCTGGAAGTTTATGAACATGTAGTGCTAGGAGCAAGGTGCACCCTTGCTGCACTTTGCACCTTGCATTTTCTCTGGATGGCCATTGTTAGCCATCTAGATTTAGTGCTAGGCAGGAAAGGAGGTTTGGGCACTAATTGGAATTGACACAAGTCTGTGCCCCCCAGCTTCCTTTATACCCAGCATGCCCTTTTTTCTCTTTCAAGCCCAGTTGTGCCTTGGGGGTAGCCTAAGTAGGGTGGGGGCTTGGCCCTTGCAGTCCTAGCTCTGAGTTCCTGTGATCATAGAGGTGAGACTCATTTGTCAGATATGAACTCCCAGATAATGTTGGGAGGCTGTAGGCTTGCACCTTTAAAAGGTTAGCTTAATAATGTACTAGGCAGTTATGAGACTTTGCATGGCAATGAATGAGTGGAATCCCTTCTCAATTCTTTCTCTAGCTTTTCACATGCCCATCAAACATGCTTTCCAATCAGTCTGTCTTCACAGTCTAAAGTGCTTCAATCTGTGACATTCCACAGTGGATGGGCAGCAGATTGGCCAGACTGAGCAGGATTGTCCCACCAAGGCAAATAAGGTGAAGTACAGCCTTGAAAGATTATTGTTGTTAGTCGAGAAGTCGTATCCGACCCATCGTGAGCCCATGGTAAAAACCCATTTTGATCTGAGTGAATAAAGTCTATCAGGTACTTCTTCAATCTTTCTGCCATTATGGAGGCAAAAATTTTGTAATCCACGTTTAATAGTGATATAGGTCTATAATTTTGAATCTGCGTCAAGTCCGTGTCTTCTTTCGGTATTAATGTGATATTTGCCTCTGCCCAAGTATTTGGTATTTTAGCATTTAGCAATGCTGCATTACATCTATCCTTAAGAAGCGTAGCAAAAATTCCTTCAAAGGATTTATAAAACGCTGCTGGTAGCCATCCGAGCCAGGAGTTTTATCGTTCTTTTGTCGTTTAATTGCCTCTATTACTTCCATGATTGTTACTTCTTGATTCAATACTTTTTGGTATTTCTCCAGTAACTTTGGCAGGTCTCCCTTTCGGATATATTTTTTTTACATTCTCAGTTGGTATCTCATCATTCTGGTATAGCTTTGCAAAGAAATCTTCCGCTATTTTCTTGATATGTATACTTTGTACTTGCAGAAGTCCTTCTCCATCTTTCAATTTACAAATCAGTCTCTTCTCTCTCTCTTTCTTTACTTTATAGGCTAACCATCTCCCTGGTTTATTAGCATTTTCAAAGAAGTTCTGTATAGTCAATTTCATTTGCTTAGTAAGTTCATTTGTATCCAAGGGGTTCAAGTTTATGTTTTAGAATATTCATTTGGACCTTAAGGATTTTTTTGGATGGATCTTCCTGTAGTTCTTGTTCACACTTCGTCAATTCCTCTACTATTTTAGCTCGTTCTTGTTTTTCCTTTTATTTATTTTTGCTGAATATGTTATTATCAGTCCCCTGGCATAGGCTTCAGCTGTATCCCAGACATTTTGCAAAGAGGTTTCTTCAATTTTATTTATTTGAAAGAATATTTGCATTTCCTTATTTATTTCTTCTGTGAATTTTTTATCCTTTAATAAGGCTTTGTTTAAGCTCCATCTGGGCGTCATTACTGTCCCTTTCAGTGATATAGCTACAGGATTGTGAACTGCCCAGACATTTGTCTCTATTTCCTCTTCTAACAAATCTGGTACTAAGTCTGGGGTTATCCAAACCGTATCAATTCTAGACTACAACCTATGTCTGTTCGAATAAAAAGTATATTTAGCAGAGGTTGGGTTTTTATGTCTCCAAACATCTATCAATCTGAGTTCTTCAGTCATATTAGAACAAGACTTTGGGAGTATCCTACTCTCCTTTTTGCCCTTAATCTCACTCTTATAGTCCATTTTCTTGTCCACAATTGTGTTGAAGTCTCCCATTACACACACAGTTTGATAGTCCAATTGTAATAGTAAAGCATGTAATTTTGGTAAAACATTTCCTGATGGTTGTTTGGGGCATAAATCACCACTAAAAGCACCTTTTTAAGTTTCATTGTGATTTCAACCATCAGAATCCTACCGTCCTCATCAGCTAATATGTATTTAGGGTCTAATTTTTCCTTGATGTATAATGCTAAACCTGTCTTCTTTTGAGAAGCAGAAGATATAAATAACTTTCCAAGCTTTAAACATTCCAAAAGCTTACTATGTTGTTTCTTAATATGTGTTTCTTGTAGGCAAATTATGTCTAATTTTCGTTTTTGAAGTTGAGAGAGAATCCTTCTCCTTTTAGAGGGCCCATTCAGTCCATTTACATTTAAAGAGAGCAGTTCAATTTTTCCTTCCCCTTTAAAGGCCATATTTAAGAAGAATATATTTATTTACTTATGCTTCGCCTTTACACTTCTACCTTTCTTTTCCTTTAATTCCAGTGTCTGTCCCTCTTGTTGTAAGTCTGTATTCACTATTTCTCCTTCTTCAGAGTGATACGTAGTTAGTTCCATTGGTTCAGCACCTTTTCCTCCTTCTTTTGGGGCACCCGATTCTTCCTGTTCAAACGTACTTCTAAAGTTTTCATAAAACTCTTGTGCCTTAAAGATCGAGTCCAGCTTGTATCTTGTAGAGTTCCAGGTGAAAAATATTCTTTCTGGCATTCACCACCTAAACATGATCTCTTTCTTAGGCAGCTTTGTAGTATGGAATTAAGTATTTCTTTCGTCCTTCTCTAATCCTCCATGGTATTTGTTTCAAAACAGTCACCTCATGATGATCATCGGCCTTTAAAGGTTTATCATGTATGGCCCTCAAAACATTGTCTCATATAGACCTTTTTGCAAATTTAACATGGACTTCCTTCGGAAGTTAATATTTCCTGGCATACGTTGAATTCACCCTATAAACAAGGTTGATCCCTGCATTCACCGCTTCATTTTCCAAATCCAATGACTCTGCCAACATGGTAATCATTAATTCCCATAGGTCCTCATTCTTTCCTTCGGGTATATTCTGGAATCTCAAATAATTAGATGCCTTCTCCATCTCTAATATAGCAAGCGAATCCCATAATGACTTGTTTGTTTGATTAATTGTGTTTCTTTGTCTACAATTTCAATTTTTTCATGTGCTTGTTGTATTTTTGTGTATTCTGTTCAGTTTTAAGTCGAACATCCACCAACTGAGTTGATACCTCCTTAACAGAGCTATCCAGTTTGTCAAGATGTTCTCTTTGTTCTTTGTGAAGTTTTTCTGCTCAATTGACATGTTTTTCTGCTGAGTTGACATGTTCCTCTGTTCTGCCAAGCTATCCCTCTGTTCTAAACTTAATTTTGATATATCATTTTGCATAGCCTCTTGGGATGCTTGCTTAGCTGTTAAGGATGCTTGTATCGCCAAGAGAGTCATTTGTAGCTCTTTTTGATATTTTTCGGCATCTGCAGCTTTAGACTGGTGAGTTGGACTCTGAGCAGGCACCGAAGAGGAGGAAGAGTGTATTTTTTTCATAATGATAGTAGTTTTTTGCCAATAATTACAAGGCACCAACAAAAAAAAGAAAGACAAAAAAAAGAGGAAGGAGACTTGTTATAAATCCAATAGCCACAGGATGGCAGCAAAGAGTTATTTTATCTTTGTCTTTATATAATGTCACAAAGAGAACTGAAAGCGAAACTTAAATCCCTTTTTAGTTTTTTCTTTTCTTTCTTCTAAAAAGAAAATAGCCATTCATCAAACATAAGTAAGAATCTGTCCTTCTATCACTTAATTCACAATAGTTTTTTATCTGATTCTTCGCCCTTGGAGAGATTAGAAAAAAGAAATGTTTCTTTCCAGCCTCATACTTTCAAAAATCCTCAGTTCCTCTTCCCTAGATTAATTGCCGCTTAGACTCCGTGGGGGGAGGGGAAATTCCTCCCTCTGTCGAGAGAGCTTTTCTTTTTTCTTTGTCCCAATTAGTATCCCCTTCAATTCTTTCACGGGTAGTATTGAAAAGGTAGAAATGCTCACCCAGCAGGTCTGATGAATTCCAAGCTGATATTCTGTGCTATATCCGGTCGTCTATGGCTTGCAGGGAGCTGATCTCTCCCCTGTATTGTTCAATTGAGAAAATCCTGAGTTTCTCCCAGAAAATGTGGAGCCGCCGCCTCACACTGCCCAGGAGTATGCTTGGGCTACTATTCCTTGCCCCAACAGGGCTTGGAAGAACCTCTGGCAGTTCACTGTTGTACAAATACTGGTGTGATTATGGGAGCCCCCGTTCATCACAGCCGTCTTGCCACGACGCCAACCAGAAGTCCC